TTAAAGATGGGTAGACTTGTACTTTCCCTCACTGACAGTGGAAGACTATTCCAGAAGCTCACTCCCTGATATGACAGAGCATCTGTGAACAGGTGGTCCGCCTGAATGCCAGTTCACAATCACCTCTAACAGCGGCTCGAGTCAGTCGAGACCCGGCAACTTTTGTTTAATAAAATCACTCATTGGTGGAGGCGCCAGACCATGTATAACGTTGTATATTAGACAGGCAGATTTAAATAATTTGAAATTAGTAAAATTTAAAAACTTGTATTTTTCTAAAATATGACAATGGTGATATGAAAAAGGTTTTTTATCTAATATTTTCAATGCTCTTTTGTAGCACACTTCGATTGGCCCAATAGCAGCATTATAGTCTTTTGTTTCTAAGGCGACTTCTACCTAATTTAATATTTCTGTTTGTTTGAAGAAGAAGCCTCAGTAACTGATAAGAATCATAGTAACATGAATTCTGCACAGACTTGGAGCTGGCATAGACAGAGACAGCGTAGATAAACTAAACTGGTGCCCATCCTCTGTTTGATCTGTCAGGACATAATAACAGAAATCATCTGAGCAATATGAAGTTTAAAATGATGTTATTACAACTTCAGAGGAACGACAACACGTGATATATTACCTGTGTCATAAATCAAAAACTAAGTGCACTTCGTGGTTCAACAGCTCGTAAACCCACCTTAGCAGCAGTAAGTGGAAACAATGGCTTTCTGTGTGACTTTATCAGCCTCACGAGGAGCTTTGGCCCGCTCCTCCTCCCACTCTGCTTCGTCTCATTTCATTGAGGTTTAGTTATTCGGGTTCTTTTACCGTCACTGTCGTGGTGAAGGTGTTTTTTCTTCACATTCTGTTTACAAGTTCGTTTTTTCACGCTTTAAATACACGTTGTTATATTTTGCTGATGTCTTCCTTGCCTCTGCATACTTCAGGGCTATGTTGAGCTCACCATCTTCCCCACCGTGGTCAACCTGAACAGGATCAAGCTAAACAGTAAACAGTGTCGCATCTACAGGGTCCGAGTAAACGATCTCGAAGCCCCGTTCCTCTACAATGACCCCACTCTGGAAGTGTGCCACCACGAGTCCAAGCAGTGAGTAGATCCATATTCATAGATCTATAGATCTGAAAGTGTCACTGATGTTCTTTTTTAATTTAGATTCTATGGTTATAACACATGTGGAATTATACTGGAAGCTATCTTAACCAGATGAAGGAAGTTTCCATCTTGATTGTCTTTCAGTCAACAGTTATCAGAAGTTTAATAGTTAAATTGACTGACTTAATATTGAAGCAGTCTTTTGTGTTGTACGGAGGCGGTGCAGGTGTTCTGCAAACAGCTGTTTAACTAGTGCAGGAACAGCCTGTCGTTACTCGCAAGTAGGGCTGCTCGATTATCTCAAAAATGATCATCACGATTATTTTCACTGAAATTGAGATCTCGATTATTTGACGATATTTATTTAACAATAACAATGTGTTGAATAATGACTTTAAAGATTGTCAAAAAATAATATAAAATAGTGCAAATACTGATAACAGTGCAAATGTTTGCAATATAAGAAATAAATGAAAAATGTAAACATCTATGTTTA